TTGACCTAAATGTTTATTATTTTGTTTTTCTCAAAGTAGTACATAGTTGTTTATTTTAATTCATGCATAGAAAAAGGATTTAAGTTTGCATATGTTATAGGGTGAATTTTTTGTTTTAATTTTTTTATTGTCAAATTATATTATGTATTTTTTAAAATTTTTACTAAAATATTTCAAGTTTACCTACTATTATACATTTCAATTTTTTTCGTTAATATTTAATTTTATTGAGTTATTACTTATAGGCTTTAGCTAAGAGTTTTTTTATGACAATACACAACAAATTTTATACAATTCAACAAAAATGTTAATAATAAAAAATGTCTTTTTTTTATAAGAATTCCACATTTCTTTATTTACTGTTAATTGTATTATGTGAATGTTATATTAAAAATTGATAAAATATTGATATATTATTCATATAGGACAGATTAAAATGCTTTAAAGATATCAATTTTTAATATATCCCAGGGTAGCGAAGATAAAAATATCATGTGCAAAAATGTATTATTTTTTATTGTAATTTGTCTTATCAACATAATTATCAGGAGATAAAATATCTCTGAAGCCTTAACCAACCCCTTCTTGCCGTTTCCATAGCGTTGCGTTATGATTTTACAGTAAATTTCATTTTAAAAATAAAGTAGCTTATTATATTAGACGATTGATGTCAACTCAGTGATAAAAGCTGTATAATAGTTATATTTATTGAAATATAATTTATTATAAGTACAAAAAAAAAACAGTTATTTGATTTAATTCAGACTAGACAATTTAGAGTTAGTAGTATTTTTCATTAAGAGGAAGTCGCATCTTTATGTTTTGTCTCCATCTTACAAACATAATAGTACATACCAAATTTTCATTTACCAGTTTTAATAGTGTGCTGTTAGTTTTATATAATAGTGTATTGACCTATTATAGAATTAAAGGTGAGATTATTATCTAGGGCACCATGTATTCTTTTATTGGTATTATTTAAAAAATAATAAGTTAAGACCTTTCTGAAACTACATTTTAAAATGATCATAACTTCATTAAAAGTTATTACATCAATAAAAGGCTATGCAAGGCCTTATTTAATAATCCTACCTTTAAATTTTGTAATAGGCCAATTCACTATATTATTAAAACTAACAGCACACCATTGAAACTGGTGAATGAAAATTTGCTGTAACATGTGTGTGTAAGATAGAGATAACACATGCGGGTACGAGCATTCTCTTAAGAGATATAGAAACATACGTAATACCTATTATAATATCACTTTAAATCATTAAATGTTAGTTTGTAAACACAGTCTTATTAGAAATATTACTGCAAGTTTGGTTTTTCCATGCATTTTTAAAATTGGCTTGATTATATTTTTGATATTTTATTAACTTCATTGGGTACTCAGCTATTTCAATTGAATTTGACCAGACAAAAGTGGAAAAAATTACTCAAGTTGTATGGTTGAACAAAATATTGTAAATATAACTTTTTATAGGTAAGCAACTGAAATGATTTAATTGTTATGACTTAAGAGTGGTTTAAACATTTAGTCAATAAGTTTGAAGGTGAGTATTTTGACTTTTTAATTAAAAGTCAAATAATAAATACAGTTATACATACAATACAATTTTAAATAAACACATTTTTTGTTTATTAACCCTATGATGTAATTGATTTAATGATTCAATACTGTAATAAAGTATTAATATTATTTGTTATAATTAAATAGCCATAAGAGAAAAATCAATTCAACTTTGATATGGATAAAATATTTGAATAGGTGCACTTTTTCAAAAGAGTTTCATTAACATACTCGTGGTCTGGCCTCAAGTTGAGGACGTTGATGCATTTTCTCTGTCTTATATACAGTACTTTAATCTATGTATCATATTCTTACTGCAGTTTATTCATAGTTATTATTGTATCGATTTATATTTATTGTATCTGTAGTCATAAACTACTCGAGCAAAGAGTTGTTTTTATATGATTATATTTTAAAACAAGTTATATGTATTTGAAATTTGAAATAATTCAAGTTCTTATATAATAGGTACATTAAAAAATAAAAATATGGAAAGAAAACTATTAGCTCAAACACATTATTTTTCTCTAGAAATTCGGTAATAGGCACCTATAACTACGTCAATTTCTTCTGTTATTAACCATTAACAAACCGGAGTTACAATGCGGTACGTAGATTCGTTGTGTTACGACTGACGAATGTGTAAGACACGCGAATGATAAGTATTTCATATAGTAATACTTAATAGTTATTTCCAGGGTTCTGGACTTCTAGCACTTATACTCATCACATAACCTCTGAAAAAAGCCCTTAAATTATATTCATTATAAGCACTCAAAAAACACGACAAAAACTAATAATAAACTAATACACAATTTTTTAAAAATTTTTTTGTTTAATTTTTATACTTATTAACATAAAAAAATCGGCTTTAAAAACATCAAAATTGTTTAGCTTTTGGAAACATATTAAGTTAAAATTTTCAAATAATTGAAAAAAAATGATTAATTTGGCCCATTTGAGAGAGCGTTTACGAGTTCTGGTGTTTATTTCTAGGAAATATGATTTAAAGGAGAAAAAACAGCATGGAAAACAAAAAAAAAGAAATTGAAATAAACTAAAATGTCTTGGTTTTTGTCAGTGGCATGTGTCATCATAAATCATAATTAAGCAGATGCAAAACATTATTAATATAATACAACTATAATTATATTTCAGATCATAATTGACTACCTATTGAGTATATCATACCTTTAACATTTACTAGGGGACCCACCAGCTACCACTCACCCCTCTATTTCAGAAGCAATTACCTCTGAAATTACCGTTCACCACGCCACTGTGTGTTATTAAAGATTGCATTCTCTATAGTCTATACCCATAAGTTCTACTTAGTGAGAATAATCGTTTTTACGAGTATGTATGAGAAGAATAAACCTACATTAGATCGACTACGACTCAAAATAGATTTAGAGATCTGGCTATAAAAAATATAGAAGGAGAACTATCTATCATGATAAATGAAAATTATATTTTAAAAATGTTTGCATCAAAATGTAGACATATTCTTCTTCTTTTGTGTTAATCGGCCGCTAGGACCATCCCGTCTCAACCAATTCTCCAGCCATCTATTCATAGCCAAATCCTTCCAGTTTGCTCCACCTCTTAAGTCTACTACATCCCTCTCAACTTTATCTTCCCAGCTCAATTTTGGTCTTCCTACTAGATTCTGTTCCAGCACCATTCTTAGTAGAGAATTTTGGCTCCGCATTGCATGTCCTGTCCATCGCAACCTTCATTTCTTGATCGTCTATACTATGTTATTTTCTCTAAACATTTCTTGTGGCTCTATTTTTCCTTCTTCTCCACTCTCCTGAGATGTCAACTTTTATTGGACCGAAGATCTTCCGTAATATTTTCCTCTCTAGTATTATTGTATTAAGAACTTATTTTTCATCTGATTTCCTTAGTGGCCAGGTTTCCGATCCATACAATATCACTGGCCTTATTAGGCTGGTATACAAACATATTTTCATCTCTTTTGATAATAATCTAGGACTTAATAGTTTCACCAAACCATAATACCTTCTATTTTTATAACTGTAATATATTTGGTGCCTCAGCTCCCAGCTAGAATAAAGTAGTCATTAGCTATAGTAGGTAGAGGCGTTTGAAAATGTGTGTTAACTCTAATAAATAAGGTAAACAATATATGCCCTTCCACGTATCCTATACGCTATATCCCTACCCCTACGTATATAACCATTTACAGAATTTGTTTAGTAGTTTGGTGTGCAGCTCTAATTTTTATCATGATATGTTTCTTTGCAAACTGCTTGTTTTTGTCCTGGATGTATGATATCTTCTAATCTCAATGGATGACTTCATTCCTGTTGAACTGGTATACAGCATACTGGTTCAACAGGAACAATGGTTCGCAGCGACAATGGTATGAAGGAAAGTATCTTGAAAACGTTAAATGACTGATGTTAGATTTGCTGACACAATCCCCCGTGATTGTAAATCAATTATATGCTCAAATTGGTTTAATAATAGCTTGAAATAAAATCCGGCTGTTTAACAGTCTTAGTGAGGAATATCGAACGTTTTCCAGCTGGCCAGTACAACTTACACATTTTTCTTTGATTTGCGAATTTCCTGCCGAACACGATGTTTCAAATTCTGGCGAAATTTAAGATTCATACCTAAGTATTTAGCTGAATTTTTGTAGGATTGTCATGTGAAGCAGCAACACACAGGAATTTTTTGTTTTAGCTTAAGAATAATTCATGGTGCACTGACTTATCAGTTATCACAATAAATTTTAATTTCAAAACACCTAGTACAATTAATAAGTTCATCAATATTATTTTTTATTTAACCGTCCAAGGAAGAGAGGACTGAGACTTCTCAATCAAACCAAGATTAGAAAACTTAAATATACGCAAGTAAATTCATTTTTCATACATTTTTAAGTGTAGCAAAATCATTATGATATTCTCAATTACATGTATAACATTATATTCAGTCATAACTGAAAACAATAATAATCATTAGGATTCAGCAATTGTAGGAATTGCATATTTTTCTATAATATCCTTTAGATTCTTAAGTATCAATAATTTTTTTAATCTTGGAATAACATCTATATAACTATCCAAATTATAACAACATTAGTATATTATTTTAACTAGGTGCTTTTATAGTTACAGGTTTACAGCAATTTAATATTAAATAGTAGGTATTCTCTATTAGATATTAGTAATATATTATACATAGCCTGTTGGTTAGATCGTTTATTCAGGTTCAAAGTTCGTAAATAATATTTCATGTATCGTAGGATTGATGGTGTGTCTGTTTATATATTTGCTGTGGGACTTAATAACAACTAATATCTTCCTACCAACGAGAGAAGAAAATAAATAAAAAAATTGTTATGTATTTTATTATTATTTGAGTACTTATTTTTTCTGATTGATTTCAAATGTCAAGTGACAATGAGTTTAGCGAGATCGGTGACGAACCACTGGATGAACATTGGTTTGAGAGAGAACAGGAAGAACTGCAGTTGGTAGTAGAATCTGACGAGCCCCGGGTTCCTCCTGAATCTGAGTCGTATGAAACTATTGCCGAAGAGCAAATTGATTATGCTAATGATGAAAAACAAATCAAGTTAGCAATCGAACGACTAAAAAACCTGAGGTTGGAATTGCAAGACCTTAGACACCGCAAAACTAGAGTGTTTAACATTCTGACCGAACACATCGAAAAGGGATTGGTGAGTTTTTATCAGGTTTGGGTTTGCCGAGTGACAGTAATTGTACATTTTATTAAGAAGACACAACACGTTTATAATTTGTTTATTAAAAACTGTTTCATGAGATTACGTGAATATAAGAGAACTCATTTTACACCAAGAAAAAAAAGAAATTAGACTGTGTGGAACCTATAAGCAGTTGTTGTTTTCTTGATAAAATTTTAATACCAATAAAAGTTACCATTTTCCTAAATTTTCAAGAAAATTACTGGAAAGAATTTCCCATATTTAAATTATATACTAATTATTTGTGAAATTAAAGATTTTATTATATTAAAATAATGAGAAATAAACGTCACCCATTTACAAAGTTATATTTCTATTCGCGCTATGGACATTCGACTTCCGTAAAAAAAAACAGTTCACATATAAGTTATAACTGAAGTTATTATTGTAAATTTATTTAGTATAGATAATATTAGATACTTCTTGTAATAATAATTATAGCACTTATGTTGTTAATAGTGCGAGTCTGATGTACCGATAAAAAATGGAACAAAAGAGGAAGTTGAACATCACTATGAAAAGCTATTGGTGAAATTCAAAAATAAAAAAGAAGCGGCACTTAAACAAAAACATGATTTAAACGAAAAGTTAATTATAAATACTGAATACTTGAAATCGAAACGCAAAGAATGTGCAGAACTCACCGAAAACCAGTATAACTTAGAATTAAAAACCGCCGTTGGCATGATATATGACAAGACACAGGAAAAACTCACTCACTACGTAACTCCAATGATTTTAATTTTTTTTCAATTTACAGCATATAATTAAATCACAGCATCTTAGTATCTTACCTTTCTTGTATGGAGATCTGTGTCAAAACTGGAAAGTTAAAATAAATGAAAGTAAATCTTGCTACATCATTTTTACTCATAAACATCAAAATTGTCCCCAAATTACATTTAACAATATCATAGTTATTATTCCTACTTCAATAACCACAAAATACATTGGAAGGCATTTCGACAAAAAACTGACATGCAACCTCTATTATACTTAATACTCATGTATCCAAAAACAAGTTAGACTCTCGATTTTGTATTCTTGATTTTTTTCTTAATGTGAAATCAAAACATTCACTCCATACTAAACTAAATCTTTACAAAATCCATCTGAAACCAATTTAGATTTACGGCTCACAAAATCCAAATATGGCTTTTCCCCCAAAAAAATCAAACCTAAACCAAATACGAAAAAACCAAAACAAAATATTTCGTTTAATAACAAAGGCCCCCTTCAAAGTTTTTAATCAAATACTACAATCAGAACAATTTTTTGTATTTATATATGAAATATTCAATCTATAAAATTATGTACAGTAGGTAAGTATATACGAGGTAGAGAATAAAAACATTATCAGGGTTTAAGAGATTAAGGAGTCCCCATTATATTTAGGTTGAGATAGGCGTTAAAGGATTACGTTACATATCTTTACACCATTTTTTAAGCTTTGACCTGGATTTCCTTAGAGTGATGAGATATGAATACTTACTTTTTATTAGTGGATTTTAGTGGTTTTTTAATTGGGTTAAGAAACGTTTATAGAAATGTTAAACTTCTTCATCTATTGTTCTAATTCCAAGGTCTGTATGTAAGGTCAGGTTAGAAATAAATCGTGGAGCATTCGTAATTTTGTGGAGAGTAATATTTTGAAATACTTAGATTTTGTTTAAATTTGATTTTAGCTGATTCCCATATTTGAATTCTATACATCCATATGGGCTTTAAAAACGATTTATGTATTAATAATTTAATTTTTAATTTAGTATATTTATTTTTGAGAGTAATATTTCTAGAGATTGAAAACGTGCATTAAGAATGTACTCGTCTTTTCCTATTATGACTTTGCGAACTCTTTTATCGAGGTTTAGAGCTAAAAAATTGTATTATCTAAAACGACAGAAGTGTAATAAAGCTTATTTTCAAGTGATTTCTGTTTTTTCTGTTTTTATTGTGCTTGGATATAAAACCAAATTAGGAAGCTTTTTTTTTTTTTTTTTTTCCATGGTATCGAGAAATTAGGAAGCTGTGAGTGAATCGTTTGATATTATGAATGGATAAATGCGTTAGATGGTTATTCTTTTGAACATTTTTGTAATGTACGAGTATTTTTTTAAAGTATGGTAAAAGGCTTGAAGGTATATACGATATAGTGATACACCTAGTGGCTTATTTGGCTTGCCAAACATCGTTATTTGTGAGAATTTCTAGAAAATTGTAAAAAAAAGAATGATAATAATAGACAATAGCTTTGAAAATTTACTTAAGGAGTATTATCGCCTTGTTTGGTAAGCAAATAGAAACATTAACCGTTATCAGATATCGGGGATATTATACGAGAATATTGTATGATCATATTTTGTATTTCATTAGGAGCGAAATGTTTTTTCGGGATGAACATTTGGTAAGTCAGAATCTAAGTTATTTTCGACAGTATTAATATGTGACGAGTTATACATATCCTTATGGTGTTGGAATGTTTTGAAGGGATATACTATAAATACTTCTGTCTTTTTAGCATTTGAAATGGCTAACGTAATGTAAACATTTAACAATGGAGGCGGAATAGGTGACATTTCAGCAATCACTTAGTTTTGCTTCTTAGACTACTGTCGATAGCTAAATTAGAGTGTAATTTCTGTGTGACGCTGAATGGTTTAAATGTTGAGTATCTTTTTCAGTGAATTAGCGAAGTTATTATAATTTGATTTTTAAGACGGAAATATAGAAGATTGGTATTTAACTCTAGCTTTACATTTTTTGATTATTCAAAACAGCGTATTTATTGTTTTGTTTGAAAATTTGAATTATAAGATCTAGCCAAGGTTGGTAGCTGACCAAGCATGTTTCTTGCATGATTATAGTCAGATAATTTAACACTTTATCGATGTAAAGGTTTAATTTAATCTTTACTATCCGATTAACTTGTTAATTCTGTGTATTCAAAAATTCAAGACAGTCAGTAAAAGTTAAAAAAAAGTCTAGATGGTTTAATATGGGTAATAGTGGAAGCGGAAAAATTGAGTATAACATATTAATAATGAAAATATAAATCTAAAATAATATAAGTTGAGTCGGATATATTTCTTTTTATTTTGGTGATAAATATATCTTAACTATGTATATTTTGCAGAGGTCTGTAGGTTGGGGAGGTGGTGCTAGTACATTAAAATTATTTGTGTTAGCAAAATTGTATAAAACGATACCATGGAAGTTATTCGAACGACAGCCCCAAGAATTCTGCTTCGCGTTAGTCACCAACAATAATCAAATAATTTTTTATTGTATTGAAGTAATCAATAAAGTAGCGTTTGAAATATTATGTCCATGGAGAAAAATAAAAAGCACCTATAGTTATTGGTAGGTATATTATTGAGCTTAATTATAATTATAGTACAGGATTGTAAAAATACTTGAAAATGTACAATTTGTATGTGGTTTTAAGTAGATTGAATTTTTAATAAGGATTTTAACTCCATCATGCGCTGTATTAGTGTATTATCCGGGAGATTAACTTTTAATAGGCAACTTATAACTGGGTATGAATATGTGAATATTTGGTGGTGTGTTTCTGTGATAAAGGCAATGTTGATACGTCTATTATATAATACTTCTTGAAATTCAGTTATACTATTCTTCAGACCATTAGTATTAAATTGTAAAACTAGAAGAGACTAATTTTTAGTAGAATTATTCATTTTTTTTAATAAGCATGAAATTTCTCGGGGGAGTAATGAGATAAGTGAATTGATAGAGACTTTAGTTAGCTTATAAAATATAACAATGATAAATGAAGATCTTGAGTTCAATAAGAAGTAGCGGACTGTGGAGATTGGGTTAAAGTTGCCTGACCAAATGTTTGAAATTGAGAAGCTGGAAGATTGAAGTAAGTGGTATTTTGTAGGTAACTCTCTTGTACATTGTTGGACATCAAACTAGAGATAACAGGTACTTAAGGTTTACCCATCTTGTTGATCTTTGTAGTTTGCAAGATAAATACCAGAGTATACTACGTTTAAATTTAATCTTGGTTTGAGTTTGGGAAAGTAGATCGAGTACTATATCCGCAATAGGCTTTAATATGATCTTACACTTGGCAATTTTGATATTGACTTATTATCTTGGGTTGGTCATTTACTGTATTTATTCGGTGATATAATCATCGGTAGGATCGGTTTAAGTCCGTAATTCAAATAGATTTTTGGATGAGAACAATTTATTTTTATTTTTATGTTGAATCATTCTAGGAGATGAAGGTTCAGGGATAAACGTCCCTAAGTGGTTACCTATGATTGCGCGAACCAAATAAATTAGTGTGTGGTAGACCTTATATTGATGGATGAAACATCCAGGTGGGATGTGGGTGGGTGTTATGGTCTTTCCTAGCTGCAGTTGTTTGTTATTCGCGGTTAGTATACTCACAATACAACAATATTTGTATTGCATAGATCTATTAACTTTTAAAATAATGTATAATATTATTATATTGTGAAAATGATTGATGGATTTAGTGGAAACAGTAGGAGACCTAACAACTAAATAGGAAAATAACGCTCACTTTAAAATTTAAAATTATTGTAGAATCCCATAGTTGTTCTTCGCATTTGTGGTGTACTATATACTACCTTGATCAGCACAGAACCTGAAATAAATACTTTGTTCCGTATATAAGTAAAAGTTTATATTGTAGTGGCGTGATTTAATCACGTGGCAAAATGTCAAGATCACTGCGGTGTCTTGTAATGAGATATTATAATATAATCATGCTCTATGAAACTTAAATTTTCTTTTCCAAAAAAAGGTTGGAAGACAGCTAGTAGACACTGTGATCTAGAACGGCTTTAGAAATTGTGTCAATTGATATGAGATATTTATTATGTATTCAAAATTAGTGCAGTTCAGCTACCCTCGCTCGACAACACACAGACCTTAAAAATAAATACAGTGCTATAAATTGTCATTCTGCTTGTGTTACCATAATTCAACCTTCGATCTATCTAGTAATAAATCCAACGAAACCTATGCCCTGTAATTCACCTAAAAGATTAAAAAGATATTGATGTCATGGCCTACTTCTTTAACTTTAACTTTAAGTCGTCAGTTGTTGCTTCTCCTATATAGCCTTTCTATTAACCATTTGCTTTTTCATTTTCATTTAAGCTTATTGTACAAAATGTGTATACACGATGTATTCACAGATGTTGTCACATCTAATGATGTAACTTTTATGAAAATATGCAATAAGATGTTTAAATACATTTTAACAGTATTCATAATAAAAAAATACATTTTATTTACAATAATAATATATTAATTTAATTGTGTAATACTACCAAAATAATTATATTTACTTGAACATTAAATATAACTATGTGATATAAGTATATTATAATTTAACTCTTTATTCACTTAATTCGTGTTTTATAATTACAGGATGTAGAAGAAATGATTGAAACCTGTAAAAGACAGGATATCAAACTAAACAAAACTCGCTTAGAATTTATTGTACAGAAACAAAAATGTAAAAAGATAAAAAAAGGTATTGAATATTTAGCACCAAGCACATTTAGCATAATTGAATACCAGGAATTATCAAAGAAAAATAAAAAGCTTGAAAATAGTATAGAATCTATGTGAGTAATTTTCTTATGTATTGCTTTATTCTCAGTAACGGACTTACTGGAGCAAATATAAACATTCGCTGTCTGATCCTCCACTCACGAGTGCCCCTGAACTTAACCCTTCCCTTTTCTTATTTTGGTATTTCAAAAACTGAATGGAAAATGATTCTATCTAGTAATTTAAGAAATTATGATCAGTGGCATTTTTACAATAAAGAAGATTGGGGGAAGATCTCTTTTTTGTATTTAAGTTTTCTTAATTTCTTAATATAAACATAATATATCACTTTAAGTACCTTAATCTATTTTTCAAAAAGTCCAACTGCAATACTAAGTTACCTAATCATTTCGCTAGGAAAATATCTGGCTCTTCCTATTTTAATCGTTGTTCAAGTACTCTACTAAATAGTATACGACTACCTATATGTGTAATTTGTGTTCTCTGTAGAATTATTATTATTAATTATTTTTCATGCTGAAATGGTTATAACTAATAAAAAACACAACAATAAGCAGCCAACATGATTTAAGGTATATTTATGTATTATCTTCAACTGTGGTTGACAATAGAAAAAAAATCACGAAAATTAAATCCATATTTTTATTTTTGGAAAATTTGTCATTAGTACCTGTACAATAAGTTTATTTTAAATTGAACCTAGGGGTTGATTATTATTTAAAGCTATTGTTGAAATCATTTGGCGTTTAACAGTATCAGCCGCCAACATAAAGAACTAAAATTTATAGCAGTGAGCTATCTATAATATTTAAAACCAATATTTATATTTTATCCAAAAATGTTAGGCTTTCACAGTTCTAATATTCGCCAGCATTTTTCCGTGTTCAACATTGTTAATTGGTTAATTGACATTGTTAGTATTTTAGGTTTATAAGTTTTAAGTTTTTTTTCGTTTATTTTTTTTCAAGGACAAATATCAAAACCGAAACTCTAAAAGTTCTTAAATCTGAGTTATCTAAAATTCCTGATATTCACAGAAAACTAATCAATTTAAAAGACGAAAAGGATAAAAACGAGTCTGAGTTAAAACAAATTAAGGATGTAAGTTTTTAAAAAAATATTTAGTATATTAGTTAAATATTTAATAAAATAAACTTGAAGAGAATAAACAAGTGGGTGCCCTGGAATTTGGCCACTATTCACCTTTAAAAAAAAGATAATTGGGCCACTATCATTTTACATTTATAATAGGTAGACCGGAAGATTGGGCTACCATTAAATTAAAAATTGTATAGTAATGATTTTGTAATATTCCATAATATTATTTTTTCTGTTATAATGTATTCTTAATAAAATGAAAAAAAAGCGGTCAAGTGGATATCGCTGTACATTAGGTGTCTAAGAGATCACTGTAATGGATGGTATTAAAGTGGAATTCAATGATTTCAAATCATTGCAAACAAAAGACGATTCTGAACTGAGATGGTAATAATGGTATATCAATTTAGGATATTTTGTAATGTTCTTACTTATTATTAATATAGTAGCTGGAAAGTTGAATGAATATTATTCTTAAATTATCAGTGATGCTGGAAAAATATTAAATATACCTATGTAAAATTGGGATGTTTTAGAACCGAATTAAATGATAAACGTTATTCTTTGTGTTAATACGCAAATTTGTCCAAATCTGAACTTAAAATGTTTGTAAAAAAAACTGTACTCATAATTTTTTAGATTTATTAGTTACGGAGGGAACTGCTTAAGTGGAACCTTGTTTTAAATATTCAATCCTTAACTATAAAAATTGAAAATTTTATACAATTTTAATTACAAAATTATCTTCTAGTTTCAATTTGAAAAATGTTGTCAACATTTGAACTTTAAACACTAAAAGTCAAATCTTTCTGGTAGACATTTGACAAACTTGTTACTAATCTTGTATCAAATTTTTAAATGTTAGATATAAATAAAAACATTTTTATGAATTCCTAACTAAATATAATTTGTTAATTTCATGATTTTTAAGAATTTTGTCAAAATTCTTTGTTAAAATGGTCATAAAAAATTATTGTGGATTCACGCTCAACTTTTTTTTTAATTTCCATTAACAAAAACAACAAATAAATAAATATAAAAACACACATCAATCTAAAATCAATACATTCATCAGTCATCACTCTGTTCAGAATCTAAAATATGAAAGAGGAGAAAAAACGGATTTGAATATGTACAATCTATGTATGATCCTATTTAAAAAAATAATTATATTTTTATGTACTAGAAAATTTTTTTTTCATATTATTTATTATTTGACTAATTTTATGGACTTTGTTTTATATGAAATTTGTTGAATCTGTATATAAGTATTTGAAAAAAAAATATATTATTTGATGAATTGTATTTATATTTGTATTAAATAAATGGAAAGAAATGTAAACTAAGTAATACAAACAGTTGCTTCTTTTTATTCATTAATCATTTTGCTTTTTAATTGAACACATATCATTAACATCATTAGGTTATGCGTCACACTCATGAACGACTAGACTAGTAACTAGACTAAAGACTAGGACATTCCCGCTCAGCGCTTGTCCAGCTAGAGCAGTCTGGCCAACTCATATTTAACATTTGTAAGAGACAAAATAATAATTAGTTAATAAACGTTATTTATATGTATTAATAGTATATTCGTGAGTTATACTTTTATGACTTAATCTTCGCGTACAATTTAAAAATACAGATTTAATTTGTGGCCCAATCTTCGGGTAGTAAAATTTAAACAAATATTTTATACGAAGCAGGTAGTTAAAATGTGGCCCAATTCCCGGGCGCCCAAACAAGTATAGGTAGTGTTAAATTTAAAAACCCTTGTCCAAATTAAATTTTTTTTAATAAAGAAATAAAGGATGAAAATGTAATATAATATTATTTATATTATGTTGTGTAATTTGGATTTGAAATTAAAATATAAAAATTCCATATTTTGAAACATAATGATTGATACAATTTTTGATGTATGGTGTATTTAATCGTATTTTTAAAATTATGTAATTTAAATATTTTATATTATACTATTTTATAATTATTTGTAACAAATCGATGGGGCAACGTGGCACGAAGTTGGCAGGTAAAAAGTTCGAAATCGTGTTTTTCAAAAAGGTGTGGCAGATAAGGATCGTCCGAATCGTGTTCTACCTTCCTATATACTTTTTACCAGATCTTAAAAATCTTAAAAAATTTAGCACTATAAAATGACTACTAACCTAACCTACCTTCAACTATTAAGAAAAACATTTTTCTATTTTGACTATATAATTCAATCTAGTTACCGTAGATTTGAATGACATTGATAATGACTTACCTAAATGTTTGCCTATGACCTTTGTTGATCTTAAGTGCAAAAGAAACGATAACAGGAAATTGAAGCCGTTGGAAAGATAACGGAAAGTTAGTGGGAATCATGGGAATTCTTAGAATAAAAGTAATTTCTCCTTTTGCTGGCCTAGTAAGAATTGCGACTTCTATAATATTATTTTATTTGTAGTATTGTACAGTTACATAAGTTCAGTGGTTGGAGGTAAGTAATAATGTAATTGGAGCACCAACTTTAAATTTTAGCTTATGAGGAGGAAATCCCTGAGGAGAAAGAGAATTGAGAAATTCTTGTGGATAATGAATAGCATCATCTGTTGATGTAACTGTATCAATAGTTAGATATTCGTAAAAGTCTCCATCGAATTTTAGAAGGATGATTTTTTTGATTTCTTCTGATGTTCCATTTCTCAGAGACATAATAGCTCTTTCACATAACCACTGATAAGATTTATTGGATGGATTAAAAATGTCACTATAAACTGCAGAAATCAACTCTTCCACATTATTTACTACCCATTCAATCTCGTGATTGAAAAAAAAATGTAACTATTTTCATTTTCTAAAGTTAAATTTCCAATTTTCAACTTCTCTGTGGGAACAGTTCAGAAATGATTTTTATGAAGATATTCTTCATGCAGAGTGCACTCGATCAAATGACTCGCAATTAACTTTTTCTGATGATTTGAAGAGTCTTTATTATTACAAAGCTAAGATTGGTGTTTTCCATACAACTCTTATGATATTAAAACGATTATATTAATTTGTAGTTAATAATTTCCGCAATTGTTTATTTACGAAAGAGAGTGTAAACGATTGTCACTATAGTAACTGATTGTTACTGTAACTGTATAAAATTCAATTGTGAATAATAGATCACTTGTCTGAGTATTTGGTATAACTTTATACTTATTTATGTTTTTACAAAAGAGGTACTATAACCTTCAGCAGTCTGTCAGGTATAACAGTAAACAATTTCAGCCAAATTGGTTCAGTAGTTTTATCGGTTAGCGTTGTCATAAAAAACCCATTACAATTTTATTCAGCAATAGAGATGGAAATAGAGATAGAGTTTGTAAGTAATGTAGTTTTTAGAGAGTGGTTTATTTTTAAATTTTATTATGAGCTTTTCAAAACTGTTGCCCATCTCTCAAAATCTGAAATTACGTCACTGATTAGCTGCGGAAGGTAAATATAAAAGTTATTTAATAGGCTGTACCATATTATATACATATCATTATGATTCAGATCGTACTGTATTATGTGATTTTCGTTCAATATGTTGTTAGCAATAAAAAGTTTTTAATCACTGTGGATTTCTAATATTTACCAAGCATTATTTTTCAAAAATTAAATTTCATCATTTTATAGAAAAAAGTTACTGACTGACCTATCTCTGTGAAAGTTATGTTATATTATGTAATATTTACATATTATATAATTTTTTATTTTTATTTATTTTCAAGAATTGAATATATACTCTGCAACGATAATGTAACATGTTACTATGTCAGTATGGGGCTATGGGAACCCATAATTATAATTAGGGTTCGGGACTTCTTGTATTTGAATGTTTTTTTGTAGTGGTCGTAGTATATTCTTAGTGAGTTATAAATGTGTTTTATGAAATGACGAAATTAAATACTAAGTTTGAATTTGCATATTTTTGCATATTTCGTCATATTTTAAGAAAAGCACATATTTGAGAAATTTTTAACATATTTGGGCATATTTCACATTTTTATATTTTTATAAACGTAAAATTTTCGGGAAAAATCATAATTGGATGGTGTAGTTTTTCGTATCTAACACGTACGTCTCTTTGCGATGATAGTCTCTTTATCGCATAATAATCAACCTTTTTATCGACAATATCGACAATTGTATAGTTGTGGTAAAACCTAATGAATCCTAGGTTGACAACCCGAGTAACCCGTGTAAAAAACCTTTTTATTATATTAAGTACCTCCCTAATTTTTATTTTATTTTTTATAATAATAATTTACAATATACCTTATTGTGCGTTTTTTAAAAACAAAATAAAAAATCAGCTACATATTTTAAAGTATATTTTGACGATTTTGACTGCATATTTGGATGCACATTTCGATAATTTTAAGTGCAAGAAGTCCCGAACCCTAATTATAATATATTATAGAAGTATATAATACTTTATAGGATATAGATATAGAGACATTCATATTAAATACACTTTAAGTGACACTTAATATTATTCTATAAATATCAAAAAACAGGAATGGAGACAGCATGTCAAAGCAAAGGCTCGTGACCAGAAATATGAACAACGACTAAAAAAGGGACGTATATCAGATTGTTTTACTGAAAATCCTTTACTTTTTAATGATTATCTCGAAAGTATAAAAAAAGATAAAATAATCCAAAAGACTGTCACCGACTTACGTCAGGAGTTGTCCGAAGTTGAGTCAATAAAATATCAATTAACTACATGTATTCAATAATGTAGGAAGACCAAGTTGAATATCTAAAACAAATAAATATTTATATTCATATAGAAATATTGTTATTATATGTATAAGTGAATTTATCTTAATGTATTAATAATTTAATTAAAAAGGTAGTACAAACAATTTTAAATTAATACAACTGATATTGAATATTTTTTAATATTATAAACAGCGAAGTTTCTTAGTCAAGCAAGTTGCTAGCCTTGTACTCATTTATAATTTAAATTTAAGTATTTTTCTTCTGCGTTTTGTGTACTTACCTAAACATTGAGTTTGAAAACCACGATAGAGGTAGGAACTTAGTTTGATTACCACCCATATGGATATGGTGATGTATGGTGACATATTTAAATTAATTTTTAGAGTATTCTAGAGAGCAAGGGGGGGGGGAACCTTTTACGGGTCAAATACCAAAACTTAAATACAATTTTTTTTTAAACATAACAGAGTACCCTCCACTCCCAAAAGTTTTTTTTACTGATAATAAAAAAAAGTAGGCAATAATTACTATACACATTTTATTACTCATTTATTTGTTAACTTATATTTTATATACCTAATACAGACAAAACATTATGAAACATGTTTTGAAAAATATTTTAATTAGTTTTGACGTGCCATTGAATTTTTGTTTTGTCTGTAATTTTATCTTGTTTACGCATAGTGGTTAATAAACACTACCACTTCAATTGGTTAGTAAACACATCAACCTTTTGATTTATAAATAGTTGTATTTACCCAACTGTTTATATTTTGTATCACAGCATACAATACAAGGTATTGCAAATGTTTATCTTTATCGTCCCCGTTATATAAATTAAAAACGCAATTTTTGTTTGTAACATCTTTGGTATATGTATTGATAAGTATATTTTTCATTCATATCAGTTTCTATCACATAGCAACAATCACTGACATAAAAATTAATACTTCGTAGTGGTTAACAGCCGTAACCACCAATCAAAATATGCACATTATTCTTAACCGATAAGCATTTATAAATGTTTAAAAATTATTTTTTTCACTTTGAAAATTTGAAATTTGAATTATATTCTAAAAGTTTCAAAGATGTCACGTCGTACAAGATTGTAGCAAAAAGGTGTGGTTCAATACCTTGAAGAAGATTTTCCTTCAGGTTCTGAACTGGAATTAGATGACGATGACACTGACGGGGATCCGGATTATGAAAAAGAGTTTGTTTTGGATTGTTCGGACAGCGAATCTGACGAATCAAATAATTTGAATGATATTGTTTTACCAACAAACTCATTAGAAACTTGTATATTTTCATCTTCAACGTAAGTTTGCGAAATATAATATTATAAATGGTACTGAAATCTTATTTCTTTAGGACACCATCTATACCAAATACTCGTAACTCAGTTACACCTGTCCATTATCAACAGCTTCAAGAAAGTTTGGAATTTGTGTCTCTAACTCATTCGTAAGTTTATATAATATATATACAATATTACAAATTTATAGTGTTATTTCATATTAAAATTATTTGTATTATTATTTTGTTAATATTTTTATTTATTTTCACAGAAATGTATCAAGCCAAGTAACAATTGCTTCACCATTAAATTTAAATATAATCCCACCATCACCATCAACTTCAACGGTTCAGAACAATATACAGAATATAGTAATTCCTAACCAACCTCTACAAGTGCCTACTTGGTCTAAAACTGTTTCTATGTTTGAAGAAGATGCATTTAATGAAAATAATATTGGAGTTACAGAATATATAATAAGTATGTCAGATGTTACTCCAATAAATATATTTTTAAAACTTTTTCCTGATACTCTTATTGAACATATTTCATTTCATACAAATTTGTATGCAACTCAAGCTGGAAAACCATACACACCTACTACACCAAATGAAATAAAAAATTTTTTTGCTATCAATATGCTTATGTCGTTGAAAAAACTATCAAGCTACAGAGACTATTGACCAAGTGCCACTGATTTCCATGATATCTTTATTTCTAAAATAATGTCGGTGAATAGATTTGGATGGATTCTTTCAAATTTACATTTTAATGACAACTCTTTAATACCAAAAAGAGGAGAAATAGACTATGAAAAATTATATAAAATTAGGCCACTTTTAAATTGTTTGAGTGAAACATTAAACAAATCATATTCTCTAAACAACTCATTGACATTGGTAATGGCAAATTTCCTATAGACATGTTGACTAGCTTCATTAACTTTCCTCAAAGTTTTTGTCAGTTAACTCGACCAAAAGATGAACTTATTCAGAAGGTGTTTCCAGATTTTGCTCGAAATTACAGAAACCATGATTGGTTGAGCAAACGAGCTATATTGGCTGCAAAAAACATATATGTAAATGAATTTAATTTCAAAATTCAAAAACAAATTATAGGTGAATCGAGGATATATAAATCAGTTGATTCGGCAACTAACCAAGATGATGTAGTCAACTATCCACCTTAATTTTTAAACTCACTGGATTTACCAGGATTGCCATCTCACAATCTTCAATTAAAGGTTGGATTGGTAGTTATAATGTTGCAAAATATCAACCAACCTAACCTAACCTTTGCAACGGCACACGGTTAGCGATAAAAGAAATTACTAAACAACGTGATAGAAGCAACTATACTGAAAGGAAAGTATAAAGGAGAAGATGTTCTCATATCGTGCATCCCAATGATTCCGACTGATGTGCCATTTGAGTTTAAACGACTACAGTTTCCAGTGTGGCTTGCTTTTGCTATGACCATAAACAAGTCCCAGGGGCAATCATTAAGTGTTTGTGGTATAAATCTGAAAAACCCATGTTTCTCACATGGTCAACTGTATGTTGCCAGTTCCCGTGTTGGCAAACCATCAGATTTGTTTGTCTATGCGCCAGGTAATCAAACAAAAAACATCGTATATCACAAAACACTACAATGAAAATAAAACTGATTTTTGTTAATAATTATGATTGAAATGATTAACAATAAAGCGATTTCTTACTTTTAAATGCTTATATATGTTTTATTTAATTATTTTTTAATTCACACCGCCCTATCAACAGGGTGACGGTTTTGTTCAGGAGAATTTTTGCCCTGACAGGACAAGTACGGTGGCGGGAAGGTGATACACAAATATGTTTCACTCGGGCGAAGCCGGGTAATTCAGCTAATATAGTGCTACGAATCAGAATTTTTATTCTGGGCAACGGAAAAGTTTAGATAAGTTCTGAATACCATACACCGAATATTAAAGAACAAATTGAACAAAGTTTGAGGTCATATAGAGTTGGTACATTTAACGGGCAACGAAGTGCACGGGATCAGCTAGTAATAATATAATAACATAATCCGAGTCTGGCATTTAGTATACTTGGATAAACCAATTTCTTCAACAGTCGGCTTAGAAAAATTCAAGTTTGTTGATTCCACAATAATATTGTTCGAATAATTGAAAACAATATTCGAACATTTAAATTTTCTAACATATAAAATTTTAACACTTTTAATTCAGACAATCATATTATTCGAACATATTTTTAATTTTCTAGAGTTTCTAACATTTAAAATTCAAATACTTTTTATTCGTATGCATTATTTTCGAACAAACGACCCCTCTTTGAAACAATCACATTTTACGTTTGGAGTAAAACTGAGATTGGCTAGATAATTTTGTCGTCAGTTGGTCGGGACTTAAGATCAGATATTGTGCTTTTTTTACATGCAGCTTGTGTAGTACCCAAAAAGAGTAGTATACTACGGACTATTATTTCATAATGCTTATTAGAATATATTACTTATAATTATAAATTATACACAAATTATCATAGATAAAGGTATTTATAAATATGGAATAGGCATAAAAGTTTAAATAGAGATTATAGGTGAAAACAACAGGTTGTTTTTACCTATTGTACATAATAATGCAAATCAGCAATATTGGGGTGTAGAATAAGAATATTAGAATATCACGCCATTGTGAGAACCCGCATAAATACGGGTAGAGCACCTACCATTATATAAAAGATAGTCAGCATGGATCGATAGTGTATTACGCGCTTACGACAGTGTGCTAAGGATTTTTATGTTAAAATTATAATTAATAAACGGTTTTACTTTATTCAAGTTTATTGTTACAAAACAAGTGTAAGTAGTAAGTGTTTAATTAATTTCAATACCTATGTACCTTTCTCAACACACATCTCAAGACTGACGACTACTTGCTAAGTCGTTAAATAAGTGAAGTGGTATAGATTGTAGTGTCCTGCACAGCGCTCACCACACTTGGTAGTAATTGAGTTGAATGTTGAAGAAGCTTTTGAAGAGTTTGAAGAAGAATTCAAAATGAAGGGGTGGTAGCTTCAGAGGTAGTATGTCGAATAAATGAAGCAGATAAAGGTTGATGAATAGCAAGGTTAAATTATTTAATAGCAAGTTGCCCAAAATATGGATTTATATCGAAGAACATCCCTCAAAGTATGTGATTGTAACCAAACGTATAATGAGCGAACAAACAAGTAAATAGCAATGATACCTTTTAATTTCCTGGGAGATAGCTCACGGCGATTCACTAGACTTAGTCGAGGTGATACAAACTTAGCGAAAACTACGTGTTGAAAAATAGACAAAAACTGGAGCTTTCAATTTGTATTCAAATACAACGAATAGTTATAGGTAAGTTATAGAGCAGGGGTGGCCACTAACCTTAACTTTGGGAGCCGCAAATGTATTAAGTTAATTCTAAGAAAAAGAAAAAGCTTAAAGAACGAGAGCGTTCATTGGTATCTATCACAATCACTTAATATCAGTTAACTATAAATTCATATTGATTGGTAAATTTTTATAAATGGTTTATTGAAGATAAATACCTAAGAATTTACAATAGTTGTAACTATTGGTAATGTGGTAAACTTTTTGATAATATGTATTGAAATTTATTTTTTAACATAAAAAGTTGTTACCTAAGTTAAAAATTAGGTAGGTGATAAAATGTATGCACTAATATTTTAACATCCAAATGATCAGACTTCCACATTTTCTGGATTACTCAACAAATTTTTGCTTTCCAAAAAACGTTTAGCTCCATCAATTGCCTCTTGCGTAAACATGTCTTTGTGTTCATTCATATAATTGTACGACCACAAGTCTATCTCGGTAATTATAAATACCAAACCTTTTACATATAATTCAGCACCTAAAACAGATATAATTATAATTCATAATAGTATATAATTGGCAGAATTTGATAGGTTTGATAGAATTTTATATTCAAGTATTAGACAAAAATTAGGCTATATCAATTTTATGATTATTTAAAAGGTTCGTAATTTTATTCTGAAACGTAATCAATTTTATGATTATATTAAGGATATTATGTATATATTACCAATAGCAAAGTCTTTGGGTCCATAGAACTGATTTTCATCTACACTAGTCCCAGGTTTCCGTAATCGTGTAGATGACATGAACCGCCCTTTAGTGAATCCGCTATTCCTACTAGCTAATTCAACTATACACATTTGATCGTTGCCGATGCAAAATTCCATGATGAAATCACGAAAGTTATCTATTTCATTCACAGGAACCATCTTTAATTTATATCTGAGTTTTTTGGTTGCGTTAAGCACAAAATTTACAAAATCTAAAGTTTTCGGTGGTTTAGGTACAAGTGATAAACAATTCTGACGCGTGTCGTCTGGATCACCAATACCGGTGTGAGGTGGTATCGCCTAGTAATTTATAACCATCATTAAAAGAACAAAAATACTAAAAATACTTTAGACGATTATTTTTCTATATAATAATTAGTTAGGTACCAGTTGAGTCACAGCTAAATAATTGTTTTCTAGTTTTATTGGTTGGATGGGTTCAGGTTGATTGATTTTCAAAACGTCTTTGAAGTAATCTCTAGTGAACGGATCACAGTCATATAGTATAAATCTGTAAATGGAATAAAAGTTTAAATATTCAAGACCTTTGACTGAGTAGCTTAGCTTACGCACCTACGACCCAACACACTTATTGTTTTTCCTATTATGAAATCTTTCAGTTCATAATATTCTTGATATTCATTAACTCCTGCTTCTAAATAAATAGATGGAAAATTTGCTGGAAATTGAAAAAAATTGAGAAAATAAAATTATCCATCAATGTCAGCTAATATATTAATACCTATTGTATTTTATTTAAATACTAAATACATTAAAAATTAATAATATTTGGAATATAGTATAATAAATATATATATATAAATATAAAGTATTCCAGGTAGGTACTAAGGTAATGGAAAAGTGTCTTTACTTACATGGTAAATTTGACCAGCTTTTGGGTAGTTTAATTTTGCTTAAAAACACATTAGATTGATTCAGCTTACATTTATTACCCATAGTTGTTGATTCGTTGATTTCTATCCGATCGTCAGTTAAGTAATAAACAATAACGAAATACTTACCCTCTGTAGGATCCGAGACGTCACTATTCCAGGTCGCGTAAAACCTGTAAAATGTTTTAAAAAGCGAATTATTATAGGAACATATTATGATATCAAAATAAACTCCATAAATGTAGTAAGTTATTGTTGGAAACATCCAACGCTTCAGAACACCAAAAACACGAGTGTTTAATGGTGTGAATAATATCGAGTAATCGGTAATGGTGAAAGTACAAATGTACATAATATCATTGAGTTGTCTTCATAATAATTCCAAACACAAGCTAGGCCGTAAGCATACCTAAGTACCATCGGGTCGTATTCCAAAAACTTTCTGAGCTTCTCCTCGGCAAATCTACCGTCGGACGCCAAACTTGGAATTTTCGATTTTTCGATTTCCCGCTGCAGATTCATCTGCCTAATTGCGATATAAGGGTCCTCCATCACTGGTTCATTGTCAGCCACCACCACGCCCATGCTCGTCAAATATTTTCTGGTGAACTGATCGCAGCCGCACAACTTGTACGTAGTTCCGTAGAAACTAATTTCATCGCCGATGTTGAAGTCGGACCAATGCCAATACCTGCCTTCACGGTGTGGATTGGGTATATGGCCGCGTTTAAGTACACATCCTTGGACATAACCCGCGTTCTGCAGGATGAAAAAAAAATGTTTTATTTACTACACTATACAGTGGTGATTATAATAGAGTATCATATTACTATACAATTGCTAATAATCGTTTTCTTCTATATTATTACCTTTCGAGAACATACTTAGATTCTGAAAATAATATCTTGTGACATGCATCTTAATTGAATTAAAAGATTATAGGTGCCTGATAAATTTCATATCTATACATTATATATCGATAACAACTTAATTTTCTTGTTACACTTATTAAAAGTATTAGCTTAATACCATAGTATATTATTTTTATCAACTAATCGATATCGTAAAATTATTTATACACCAGACATACGTTTGGTGCGTAACTGGTAAGTAGGTAATGCAATAGTCATAAACATTTTTATTTTTGGGATAGTGTTCAAACAGTTTCAAATCAACTACTTCCATTTTTTTAAATGAGAATACCAATACCTCCTTGTGAAACAGGATATGGATTTAGGGGTAAGGTATGGGTAAATCTTCATTTTTTTCCTCTTGAAAAAATTAGCTCCTATCCACCTTTTAGAATATTGAACTTAACAAACTTTTCTAAGCCAAACGACTTTAACTTATACGACCCCTAAACATCTATGTTTTTAATTTAAGTATTCCTAAATAACTTTTTCTTTTTACTTTCTTTAAAAATCTTGTTTTTCCACATTTCAGCTGCATGGTTAGTTAAAATATTGTAATCAGTTGGGTGAAATGAATGGCATTTTCTTTTATTAAATTTTAATAAACATAACATCAAGCCCTGCCAACTTTCTAATGACCGCGGTTTAATAATTTGTATTTGACTATGATTATTAGTGCGAAACTGCAACCACGTGAGTTAAAACAAGAAGTTAATTATGTTTATGATGTACTAGATATAGGCTTTGTTTTAAAATCAAAAACTATTATTACAGATTTAGTAAAAAAAGAATAAATAGAAAATCATTGGAAACCACCAAGTAGTTATAACTATCCTTTTTCTACACATAAAAAAATGGTTAAATTGAAAACAAATATGTGAAAAAAGAGCATTTAGATAAATATGAATGGCTTGTTTTATCAAAATCAGAAGGAGGTTTATTTTGTATTTACTGTGCAATTTTTAATCACACGAAAACTGGCACTGGGTCAAATAACGTAATGCCCTTAAAATGTCTTGTATCTAATCCTTTAATCAAATTTACAAAATTACTAGGGAAAGATGAGTACCTCGAAACACATAATAAAAATATTTATCAAAAGAACTCCATTCAAGATGGAAAAGCATTTTTAAATAATTATTACAATCCTAAAAATGAAGTAATTAATAAACTTAATAGTGCACGTCATCAACAAGTTCTAGAAAATAGGGCTAGATTAAAACCTATTATTGAAACCATAGCATTTCTTGGTCGACAGAATATTGCTATTAGGGGGCATCGTGATGATGGTAGTTTATTTGACGATTCTGATACTCCGTCGGAAAATAAAGGAAATTTCAGAGAGTTGTTAAATTTCAGAATATCAGCTGGAGACGAAACTTTAAAAAATCATCTTTTAACTACTCAATCTAGAGCTACATATATAAGTAAAACTACACAAAATGAACTAATATTTATCATGGGAAATTTGATTTTGAAAAAAGTTTTAGACAGATTGAAACAATCTAAGTGTTAAGCGTTATTTTCGATGAAACAACCGATTTGTCAAAAATTTCTCAACTTGTTACAGTTATTCGGTATGTTTATGAAAATGAAGTATTTGAGGATTTTATTGGATTTTTAGATTGCCACCAGGATAATTAAAGAAATACTGGAAGAGAAGTTGAACCAAAAATCACCGGTGAATTAATTAGTAAATCAGTTATAAACATTTTAGATAAATTTGGTTTACCTCTTGATAAATCTGTTGGGATAGCAACAGATGGCTGTTTTGTCATACTATCAGAAAAATGTGGAGCTGTAAAATATGTTAAGAGTAAAAATGAAAAACGCAATAAAATGTTCATGTTATAGCCATGCGCTAAATTTATCGATTATGAAATTATGTAAAATCAAATTCATAAGAAACACTTTTGGTTTGATAAAAGAAGTTACACATTTTTTAAGTTCTTCAGCTAAAAAACATTTTGTTTTGGAAAAAACTTTGAATACCTCGTTGCACTCTTTATATGAAACTAGGTGGGCAGAAAAACACGATTGTATAGTACAGTTCTTTTCTCTTCAAGACTAGGTTCAATAATTGATGTTTTAGATGAAATATTAGACTGGGATGATATTAGCACCGCATCTAAGGCATCTTGTTTATCTATGTCAGTAACTACTCCCGAGATTCTTTTAACGCTAAATATTGTTTCTGAAATGTTTATAATAACATCACCAATAACTAAATTGTTACAATCTAAACGTCAAGATAAATTATCAGCTACGACATTAATTAAATCTGTAATTTCAGTTTTGAAAAAGAAGCGTTTGAACAGTGATGAATGTTTCAATAAAATATTTGAAAACACAAAACATAAGCTAGTCAATTTAGGACTATCAGACATAAATATTATGCCAAGATTAACAAGCTCGATGAAAAATAGAGAAAATCCTCAAGTTGAAACACCTGAAAAATACTATAAAATTGTCTTTTTTATTCCTTTTTTGGATGAATTATTAGCTGATTTAGAATCAAGATTTGACGAAGCTTCAAAATCGGTATACGATTTTGATGTAGTCCTTCCTAATATAATTGAGAAAAAAGATATTTTTAACGATAAGACTAAAATAGAAAATAAGATTTTAAACGTGGTTAATCAATTTATTGATGTAGTATCAAATTATTTAAATGTATCTCATGATATATTTGAAAAACGCATAACTGGAGAATTAACCCTCTGGCACGAATATTGGCTCAACGAAAAGCAACTACCTGTGACTCATATTGATGCTTTAAAACGTTGTGACTACGACTGTTTTCTTGAAATCAATATTCTATTAAATATACTTGTGACCAGCGACCACTGCATCAGCAGAACGCAATTTTTCATCTCTGAGGCGGATAAAGATATGGATGAGAACAAGAATTTCGGGAGATTGATTGAATGGACTGGCTTCACTACATGCTCATCGTGATATAACAATAAACTCTGAGGATGTCATCGATGTATTTGCAAAATCTAATAGAAGACTAGATTTTATAATTTAAATTTAATGACTATGTACGTTTTTTATCATTTTAATATTTCTATTCATGACTCATGTTTTAGTTTTAAGTTTACTATTTGGAATTTATCAATTGATTACAAAGTTGTATTTAACATAACTGTTTCGTGTAACTTATTTTTGAACACTAATATGTGCATTTGCCCACATATCATATTTTATTTTGTATAAAGTGATTAAAATTGTTGCGGCTTGTATTGCATTTGTCTGAAGGTTTGGTAAAGATTGGCATTTAATTTTGGTTGAGATTACGATAGCAGATCCACCGTGAGCAGTTCCATCGGGATGGTCAGATCTGTTCATACTATAGCCAGGAAAAAAATGTTTAGAATTTGTATTGCTGTGGGTTTCAAAGATTAAAGCGATGTCTATCTGTTTTTCAATAAATAAGTTTAATAGCACGGGTTCGTGTTGTTTTAGTCCGTTTGTATTCCAGAAAATGTATTGAGAAAGTTAGTGTTTGTTTGTCTATTTATCATCTATTAATATTAATTTATTTATGACTGTCGTAAGGAGTTGAATTAGTGGATTAATTATTAGTTTTAATTCTGATAAGAAGGCACATTGAATTGTTAATACGTTTTCTGGAGGGATATTGGTTGTATTTGAGTTTGTGTTTGGGTTTGATCTAAGGTTTTGAGAGTAATTGCGAGAATTGTTTTTAGAAAGATTTGGGAACGCTTTAGTGTCGTTAATATTAAAATTTGGTAGGTCTGAAGAATGTTTATCGTCACATACTTCTCACTTATTTACAGAATTATTTGGGTATACATTTTTTTTATTGTAGTTTTTAAACTACTGTGAAATTTTTGTAAGTCTTTGTGGACCATACATCCATAATAGTTGGCCAGATGATTTCTCCACAAAAAGTACATGTTGGTGGTTGATCAACACGGATTTGGTACAAGATGAAGACGTGTGGAATTCAGCACAGCAGACGCAGCGAGGTGGGTGAGAACAGTAGGATTTTGAGTTACCATATTTCTGGCAGTTTTGGCACTGGATTATTTCCCGACGTTTATACGGTTCTTCAATTCAAATTTTGGTAACATGAAATATATCTTTGTTGATTTTGGCAGGTTTAAGATCAATAAAAAAAGCTACAAATTTTTTTTGTTATTTTGTGACGGACATTAGCAACGAGACGCACAGTGAAGCCAATTCTGAATGACGATTCCAATCTCATTTAATTTGTGGAAGTATGAATATTACGTACAACAACGCGAAAAGCGTTGTTCTTAAGTTGATGATATGGGTGATATTCAGCTTTTTTTTGTTTAGATATCTTATCACAGCTCTGTAAGAGTCGGAATTCTTAGTGAAGATTTTTAAATCATTTGTTGATGATTTAAATAAGAAATTATCTGCACCAAGCAGTTTGAGAAAATCGTTGCGAAGTGCAACGAAATCAAGTACCCCTTGAACTGTGATTGGTGGTGGATATGGTGGGGGTTTAGCAGGTTCACTAATATCGTCTGATGCTTCGTTTGATGGATTCTGAGGTGGGTGCGCTGTATCGAGTTTGTCCTCAGCAGCAAGGCAGGAGTATCTATTTGTTGTTAAAAATATAATTTTTGCATCGTTTTAGCTATTTTATTTGTGAAAGGTTCGCCGGATGATGAAAGATCCCTACCGGGTTTTCTCGAATTGTTAACGGTATCGTATATATCCATGTCAGAACTTTCGAACACATCATTTTATACACTCTGTATACGACTGGACGAAGCGAAATTCGCTTTATTTTTATTTGAGATTTTATTTTTCTCGTTGGTACTATTTATATTATTGTTGCGGTTCATTGTGTGTATTGTCGTTATCGCGACTTGGGTTGGATTAGATAAATAGATGCAACGCCGGGGAGCGCGGACGACAATAATTACGTAAACGTAGATGCCGTATAGACGTATAATAATTATAATTACCGATTTTTGGATGATTTGTTCTTGAGAGGTTGGAATCCCTTGGTGATGGCGGTAGGAGGATAAACAGGCCGGTACCCGGATTTTTTTGACACCATTCACGGTTAGACTTGAGAAACAAAAGAAACTGCGTGCATGGTAACAGATACGTGTGTTGCGGACAACAGTCACGGAGAGAGTGAAATTTGGAATTTTACATTGTAAATATTGAAAAGACCTCATAGTATAAAATTAAAAGTACCTGTGTAATGTTATATAACAACTAGTAACTAGTAAGAGCAACTAATAATAGAAAAATCGAAAACATCTATCCTACTATCCCTGCCAACCGTTGGACGATGGTCGTTTTCATTACTTGATGGCTGTTTTCATAGAATTGTGTATAAAATGTAATTTGGGTGAGATCATTTCAAAACCAACATTAACAACCAAATTGTGGTGACCATTTTATAAAAAAAATTAAATCTATATGTAACACCGAATTATTCATACCTAAATAATATAATAAATTTAAATAGTGTTAGCTACTCGTTATTGAAAAATAGAAATTGAGGAAATATTAATATTTTAGGATTAGTAAAGAAAAAATAACCTTAATAACGGATTCCTCGACGGTAATAGTGTCATCAACCAAGAAGTATGTAATTTTAACTTTGCGCACTCGAAACGTCACTATTGGTGAATTATCTACAGTATCTTTGGTGTATCCAATGAAGGACAGACATTTTCTATCGAACTTTACAAAATTTGGTAGAGCAATTGGTTTCGGATCGTCTTTGGCTTTTCCATACGTCAATGTTGGATCGTAACTATAAAGTGTAAATTCAACATACAAATGTTTGCATAAAACTGGTACTGTTACAAACTATTCAGTCTTTAAATCAAATCAAATACTAACAGTTAGTCTTAGATCAGTTGAAAAACCGAACCAACCAAATCAAAATCCAACACAATAAAATAAACAAAATAAACAAAAACACCAAATAATAAATTAAAAAATATTGTTGTTATGATGAAAGTTTGACTTAATATTTTTTTCATATTTGTTATCATTGTTGTATTGACATGAAATTTTTTTAAATTTTTATAAGTTCAGTTGAAGTTGATATAATTTAGATAAGTTTGAATAGTTAAGTTTAATCCAGCTCGAGTCGTTTAGAAACCACTTATGCATTTATTCAATTATTGGGAAGACAGATTACCACCGTGAGCACTGTCTTGCTGATGGTTCGTCGGTTTCTCCCCTACCTGTAGTTGGGATACTACTATCAGATTGTATGTATTCCCCCGACATTTCGTATTTGTTTGACTTTAAGTAAAGTTCATTTGAATGTATTTAATAATATCAGTAGAAATTGTACTAAACCGAGCATACTGTCGGCTAAACTAACTATAAAGTTTCAATAACAAAATGAATTTATTAGAAAAAGTAAAATAACCAATATAAAATCTTCTGTATTTACCATCCCAAATCGGTAGAAACTGTTTCCACCAGGATTTATTTTGGTAATCTGTTTTCCCAGACTCTATTCCTCAAATGTAAAAAATATGAAACTGACAAAATGGCCGGAATTCTCTTATCTAAGAGGTGAATGCTTACAAAATATGTATTATGATGAAAATATGAAATGATAAGTCATGATAACTTACGCCGGGAATCCAACATTATTTAAGACATTTAAATGCATAATACCTACCTATAGTTGGTACACTATACACATTTACATTAAAGTTAAAAGTATAATATTACAATCACAAATTATATTATTCTTTTAGTTAATTTAATAATAATTACATAATTTATTGCAACAAACGAGAAATACAATATAATGAAACATAGGTACTTAATAAACAAGTTTCAAACAATTCAAACTCCTGCAATACGCGCATGCTTAAATTTGGATGAGCTGAGTTAATATTAATACCTATTATATTTAAGTAATAAAAACACTCCTCTAATCATTGGTCTTTGAGCTAACAAGTAAGTACTATTAAATGTTACAATTAAATCACTGTTATATTAAATTCTTGTATGTATTATTACAATGTGGGGGCAGGAATTACAAGACAAAACATTTTTACGAACCAACCAATGCTCAATAGTAGGTAACCTATTTACCAAATGCCTATTGTTGTTACCTATGTAATATAACAGTTCTATTTTATTTGTTTTAAATATTTTTATTTTTATTGTTATTAAACCAAAATAGCTATAATAACGGTATAACGGTTTTATTTTAAATATTTTTATTACCTACTAGACTAGGATCCCTAGCCACATTTATGATTATCATTTTATCAATATCGTTTTATTTGTTCAAAATTATTTTGTGTTATTTATATACTTATTATTTACAAATATTAGTATTTAATCAATATATTATACTTAATTGATTGCTTGAATATTTGTTTTTGTTTATCTATACTTAAATATTAAAAAATATTTTATTTTAATGTTTAAATGTTTGAATATTTAAATTAATTGATTTATTTAAACACAATTTCATAAATGTAATATTATTCACCTGACAAATCTGTACTTGATTAAGTAGGTACTTATTGCATAATTTATATCACTGTTGATAAGTTTAAAGTTAATAATATACATTTAAGATTTCAGTAAGTTAAGTTATAAAATTATAAAATCAGGAACTTATACTAATTATTTTATATGATAACAATAATATCTTTATCAATGTTATGAAAATGTAAATATTCATCTCTTGAATAAGAACATTTGGCCAATTTTGTCAGCTATTTAATATTTTTATTTTTTTGATTAATATCTGTGATTTAGGTTCTTAAACCTAACCTAACCTACCCAACCTAGAATAGATTAGGGTTATCAGTGTTTTGCTTACACGATTTTTATTTGGAATTTATTATTTATTGATTATATTTGATTAATATAATGTTCGTACCAAGTACCTACCAATAATAAGATTCTATTAACTCAAATACTTTTATTTAAATACTTCACAACACTCGCTTAAGGCATACTAATAAACTGTTCATTTTTATGTTCACGTAGACTAACATATATGCAATTATTATACGTACAAATGCAAGGCTGGGCATTTCAAGTTAATTTAACTTTTTAACTTAATTATTCAATTTTTTTATGATTATTAACTTAATTATTAACTTTAGGAGCTTTTGAAATAACTTTTTATCAACTTGTGTTAATGTTATGTTTAAGAAAGTTAAGTTAATTTCAATTTTAATTATTATGTAATATGCTTTCAAATTCGTATAAAATATAAATACTTACTTATATTATGAAATTACGAATATTAACAATGCCCGTTATTTTTCGGCTTCATCACCGTTATTTGATTTATCATTTTTTTTTTTTTTTATTTAATTACCTACCTATATTGTGTCTACAAGGGAGTTTCAGACTTTTAGCTATATAAAATATATTTATTATATTTATTATATTTATACAATTAAATTGTATAACTTAAAGTAAAGTTTATAATGTTATTTTATTATTATAAAATTGAAAATAATGAACAATTAGTACTTAGATTAGGAATCTTTGCGGAAACACAATAAATACAATTTCAAATGTGTATACATATGAATTTTTTTTATTTATTAAAAGTATACATTTTTTTTTTTGAAATGATGTAAACTATTGTAGGAATACAAATTGCTGGTATACACATTTTTTAAGTTATAAGTAAAGACCGGATTTTGTATAAAATGCATGTTGCTATTTTCAACATCGTAGACATGCAGTCAATAAGTCTGCATAAATCAATACTTGATAAATAATTATTACTGCAAAATTAAAATCAATTATAGCATTTAATAAAAACTGAAATTTAATTTTGTATATTTTGCATCTTTTTCTTGCATATTTTGCCTTTTTTAGTGCATGTTTGCATGCATATTTAAATTTTAAATGCATATAAATCCGGTCTTTAGTTATAATACTAAAAAAATGTGTACTGTTACCTTTTAAAACACATGAAATAATAATAAATCTTTGGTCTAATAACATGAACAATTTTCGGTACCGATCGTTTTTATTTTACCTATATGAAAACAAGAAACTTTTTTTTTAACTAGTTAACTTAACTTGAGTTAAAAAGTTAATATTAAATGTTGGTTAACTTTTAACTTAGTTCAATTGATAGACAATATTGGATTAACTTTTAACTATTAAATTGATTTAGATTTTAATTTAACTTAACTAAGTTAAAAATATCATTAACTTGCCCAGCCTTGTACAAATGTAGGTATCTAGTGTATTTATGTATATGTACCGATTATAATTACCCAGTTATGTCAAATTTTTCACCGTACAAAACTGTGTCAACATCTAGCGCACTCTTTCCAATACCTGTTGCCTTAACTTTGGGAACGGCATATCCGTTTTTCCATCGGAATTGAGCACTCAAATTGAAATCTTGTTTCTACATCAAACATTATCAAATATGAAAAAATGATAACTCACGTAAATATTATTTTCATATTAAATATTATGGGTTGGTCAATTAAATGTACCTACCTATAATGAACTCAATATTATATGATATGGTTACTTACTGTTATGTCATTAAAACGAAATCCCGGTATAAAAGGCAAACCGTCCATATTTGTTAGATATTTTATCAATGTTATGTTACATTTAAAACAATGTTACATTGTTATCAATCGTATTAATGTTTGTTTAATAAATTCAATTTGGTTACTTGGCAAGCAAAATAGCCATATATCGAAACCACAGTTGTAAATAGTATTGTAAATCCAATCGACACTAGGTGTTTACACAGAATAAATGTATAATATATGAATTAATATGATATATAAATTATTTGCATGAAGTCGCTTTTTTATCCGCTTATATAAAAACTATTAAGACAATAAAATTAAGATCGAAAATTGTGACAGTCAAATATACGATAAAAACACATAAATCTGCATATCTACCCACCAACGGAAGTTTTCACAAAAAAATTTATCTCTTGAATTTATCTAAATAAGGCAAAAATGAAATAGGTACTATAAATCATTTTATTATTCCGAAATTGTCCATGTAATTTGGATTAAATTATATAAAATAGTTAATTCTTAAAGTTAAGGAATTAACACCTCAAACAATATGTTTGCACAAAAAAATATGTGTATGATATAATGGTAATACGTTCTAATAATAACTTTTGAGCTTACATAAATTAGTTAAATCCAAGGGATGGATTATTACATTTGATCGACAGCTGTCTGTATTTCATATAGCACTACATTGTCTACATTTTATGATGTACAGTTATCATTAATTTTGCGTGCATATTATAATTGTTTACCATCGAACATTTCGTTATCGCTTTTCCTTACAAGTACTTAAAGTACTGACTAGGTTCCTTGACCTTTAAAATTAATTAATATTTTAAAACTGTAAAATCAACAAAGTATTAAGTACGAATATGAAGTAAATTATATGATATATTATACATCGTAATCCGTTGGTAGTTGGTACCATAGGTACCATAGGATATAAGTAGTTTATATAGGTAAGTGTAGACGTATATTTACATAATATTAAAATATTACTATATCTCATACATAATATATTAATTGTATACTTGTAAATTTATTTAAATTGTATGTTAAGCATTTTATTTATTTTAAATAAAAGTATATTAGTGGATAAGTAGCTATATGGACTAGACGTCTAGACAGTAGACACACTAATTATGGGTTTACATAGAAATTAATTTTAAATTGTTGCTTATTTTTGTAAAAATATGCTCAAGTAATCATTGATTATGTGTGTGGCATATTCAGCATGTACATTGTTTACTAATACGTATACTTTATACGTTATGTTTATATCAACAACAATAATAAGTATCATAATATTATGATCCGTACGGACTGTCCATAGGTTATTAACGAGTAGACAATTTGAATGTACATTATGATTTACTGCACAGTTGATAATAAATGACTATAAGCTACATTTGTGTTATTATTATTCAGTTTAAGGTTTCAACTACTAAGACCATTAGCTTGGTACTGGGAGAGGGGGAGATTAGTTGGATCACGTTTTTGTATGTGTGGCAAGGATTTGTTGCTAAAAACCCAGGTGATCACCCATCCGAGAACTAACAACGCCGACCGATACGTACAACTCGGAGCTTTTATCCAGATTGAGCGTACGGCTGCGCCTTACCAAGCCACATTTCAGATGATTAATCTAATAATATAAAAAAAAACTCTTTAAGATTCACTTGATAATGTTCTTACTTATAAATTTTTTAATAGATCAATTCGCTCCAATATTAATCATAACAAAGTTTAATAGATTATTCAGAACGTATACAATTTGCTATGTTATGCGTTTCCAAAACAGACATAGGCAACGCATAGGGTGTAGCGCTCTCTTAAAGATATTTGGTTTGATCCTTAATTTATTGAAACTGGAACAATATAACGAGATAAGTTGTACCTGTGACGATCGCCTGGTAAATGAAAAAAACAGAATAAATTAGAACTTATATTAAAATTGAGATAGAAAAGACAGACACAATTCAATAAAATTAGTTTAGGACTTCTTATTATACTATTATATATTACCTACGTCGGTTTTTAAAGGCGTATTAGGTATTTGTATTAACGTATAAATCCCAATTTAGGAATACCTTTGTCTAGTTGTACGCAGTTACTCATTTCCGTAATTCCTATATTAAAGTCTTGAAAATTCAAATTAAGATACTGAATTGACATTGAAAACAAAGAAAGTCGATTACATGTCGTCATTGTTATAACAAACGTAAGCATACTAATAAATCGGACACGAGTTCAATGTTAATCACGCGAGATTTGCATTTATCTACTGACGTTTTCTAACATGGTGAAAACGGCATTAGGTAACAATTTAATCTACGAGTACCTATATCACCGTGTAGCCGTGTTGGGTACTTATTGACATTTAAGGCTTTTTCAGTCATTTTAGTTCTGTGATAGAAGAGTAGATAATAGGTACACAGGAATTTTCAACATGTTTGTAGTAATTAATAGGGTGTAATTAATCATAGTTATTTATTATTGTAATTTTTAGCAGTTATTTTTTTTTGTCTGAAAGTTTCAAAAATGTATAAAAGTACCTATGAATAAAAATATATTGTACCGAAAGTAAATTGATGATTGCGTCCGATAAACATTAAAAAAATACATACCATATATTTTATAATAATTAAAATAGTATCACAATGCAATCAATTGATCTGTTACCTACTATTGTAGTTCCAAATTACAGAATGATAAATTCATAATTGGCCAGTGATTTTGTGCAAAGATTTTAAGTAAATTTGATTTTGGATATTTTAGTGATAATAGTAACCATCTATTTATTCAAATTTAGATTTTTAGAACTTTTAAGTTTATCGTAAGATCATATTTTCAACTACAAATGTAATACAAACTTCTATTTTTCAAATAAAAACCACCCTTTTTTATTGCAAATTATTTAATGGATTATTTTCTTGAAAATTTGTATGTTCCTATCTAAATCAAAGTTCTGATGAGTAGTATCTGAGTTATTAAAATGTTTATAGACTTATTAGTCTAAAGTACTTAGTACACAAAGTTATATATCTCAAAAACTACTCCTTTGAATTTTGATTAAGATACAATAAAATCCTCAAAAAGTATCTACTTAATAATTAAAAACGAAAAAGAAGAGTTCCTATTTGGAAAATAGAAGTTTATTGTCATAGGATTATGCTTAAGTGGTACAAAAAATCTTAAGAAATCAAAAATATCTTCTTCAAGTACCTATGTATAAAAATTCCAAAAATCATAATAAATGCATCGATGAGGTGAGCATGCTTAAAAAATCACCCTCTATACCTATTATTATTAAGTCTTTAAAAATTGTTATTGGTTTCCTTAAGGTTTAGATATATTATTATTAAGTCTTTAAAAATTGTTATTGGTTTCCTTAAGGTTAAGATAGGCTGATACCGAGTTGAGGTCATGATTAAATTAGGTAAAAAAAATCCTAGTTGCGGTCGGAATCAAACCAGGTAAAAAACAAATTTCTAGTTGATGTCGGGAAAAATGATAAATAATTATTATTAATAGAACTTGTTATTATGGTAAGGTAATAGCATAATACCTTCAATATTATTACGACCGAAATTAGTCTATTGCGTCCGCCACTCAGACTTTACCCTTAGATAATTATAATATAATCACCTCTTATTTTAAGCAGGTTTTGTTTATCGTAATTTTGTTCTCAACGCGTCTATTGCATCAAAAAATAAGAGATTGTTCTCTTTTGAGACAGAGTACAGGTAGGTACCTAATATTATACTGCATATCACTACGATACTCGCGTAAACATATATGAATTATTATTTTTATCAAGGCCAATGCCAGTTACATGATTATATTTAAAATAACACTAACTTAAATAAATTAAGAGGGAGCTGAATCTACACATTTAATATTAGTCAACTAAACTAATTACTTAGAACAATAACTAAAATGTATTATACATTTTTGAAAAATAAAAATAAAAATAAAGATATTTTTTAAATTTCATGTTGTGTAAGGAAAATCCCCCCCCCACCCCGACAACAAGCACACGTTCGACGCAAGTGTTAAAAACTTCAAACAAATACACTGTAATTATAGCATGCATGTCGTGTATCATTTTATTGGTGATAACTAATCACTGGTGAATATGTGAAATTAAATTATGATAATTCTGACAAGGCTTAACTTACAGAAGTTATTAGACGTGTATTAATAATAAACATATCTAAGGTTGTGAACTCCACCGAACGGCTGGATAATTCATCCAAAAACAGCAGTAGCTAAAATCAACAGGAAAGTTTATATAATTATTATTTTAACACTGATATACTAAATTTATAAATATGCAGCATAACGTTACCTCTTCTTTTGTGTTGCTATTCGTAAGACGGGTATTGATATCAGTTAAGCATATTTTCGATTTGAGTGCCTAAAAAATATTTTTGATTACTTTTTGACGGAGAATCAAGTACCTTACTAAACTCAAGTCTCAAAGATGAAATATTTTGTAATTCCAAAGTTTATATTATTAAGCGTATATTTTAGTTCATTAAAAAGGATCATGATGCTGTACTCAGTAGTTACTTTCATGAATATTTTATAATTAAATAATTTGCATTATTTGCATTGTAAAATCATTAATAATTCACAACGAAAATATTAAATTTTCATCGATATTATACAGGGGCGATTCACCAAGTATTACAAGTCCTGTGGCTATATGAACTTATTTATTCAAATGATAACTACTCTTTTTTACTATAAATTGTTAAAGAGATAATAACTTTGATGTGGGTATAAGAATTGGGATAAATTTGAAAAATTAGTTTCTAAGTTAGTATGGGTACCTAAGGATAATTATTAAAAATCCATGATAATAAGCTTGGACATAATATAATTAATTTGTATTAATTAATTTAAACATAATATAATTTGTAAAAATTGAGGTTAGTTTAGGTTAATTTCAGTTGCTAAAATGTAGTCTTTATGAAAGTAAATGGAACGTAGTTACTTTTCTGGTTGAAAAGAAAAGTAATTACAATTTTATCTCA